CAATATAATTAATTATAAAAGAAAAATAATCAATTATATTACTACAAAAGTTTGTTTTTAAATATTTTTTCAAAAGTGACCTAATTGATTATAAAGAAGAGTTAAGCAGTTATATAAGATATAATCATTTTTTTATAATTAAGTATAAGGTTTATTAGGCACAAGATAAAAAGTTATTATTAGATAAAAATTATAATTTTTTTCTTGGAAAGAATAAAATTGATGAGTTGAAATTATATACATATTAACGTGGAATTGTTGCCTTGATATTGTTGATATTTGGATGAGTTTTATGAGATTTTATTTGATTTTAAATAATTTTTATTCTTTGTGTAAGAAAGGATTTAATTGGAAGAAATCATAAGTTTTAGGAGTAAATTGTAGAGATCAGAAACTTGAGGATCAACTTGTGCAGAATCCAGAAGTCAGGGACCAGGACTGTTCTTTTACCATTACAGAAATTGCTAAGAAGGACAAAAACCCGACACGGTGAGGGCATCGTGCGCTTAACAGAAGTGTCCGCACCTTGTTGAAAATGTTGACCCCTTATGCAATTTTCACCAAATCCGTGTTTAATTAGGTGTTATGGGTGTGGGTCTCACTTCTATTTCAATTAGGGTTATGAAAATCCTATAAATACATATTCAAATTCAGAATAAGAGAGCTTTGTGGAGGCTGGTGGTAGCTCTTTTTTGGGCACTCTTGGAGGTCAAGATAGAGAATCCATCAACGAGAAGATAAAGGATTACAATTACCTCAAATTATATTTTATTTTTCTTTAGACATTCTTATATTCATAATTGTGATTTCAAATTTTATTATTTTTATTATGAACTAATTTATTTTATTAAAGTTATGATATAGCCTAATCAATTTAATATAGATTTTGTAATTTTATGTTTTCAATTAAAGTTATTTGCATGAGAAGTTTATATCATTGAATTTAATGTATTGGAAGTTTGATCATCTTTCAATTGATCTAGTGATTTATGCATGAACTTGAGAAAGAATTGCTTAGATTAGACCAATAATAATGTAAACTGTGTACATGAGATCGAGAGTTAATTAGCTCACATGTGGTAGTGGAGGAAGAGAAGAAAGTTAAGAGCTCTCTCTTCTTAAGCTAGAGGTTTTCCATAGGATTTAATGTTCATTGATTTGTTTAAAATTACATAAATATATGATTAATTTAACAAACCAGTGAATGATTAATTTGACTTGAAAAAACTAGTAAATTAATTTAAGGAAATCCACCATCACATGCAATAACATTCAATAAATTGGTTTTGAAAGTATATTAATCTAGAATTTATATTGATTGATTATGATGAAATCAATGCCTTAGTACCTCCTATCTTGGTTAGGTTTATTTGTTATTTTCTTTCTATTAATTTTAATTAAAGTTTCTTCCTATTTGATTGTTCAAATAAATTTAGATTAATTATTTTGATACTTACTTAAATACAATCTTTGTGGATTTGACACTCTTTTTATTATTATATTACTTGGGGTGACTAATACACTTATTATGGTGATTTTAGTACATTAAAAATCTTACCTTAAAAACCAAGTTCTGATTTGTGATTCAAAATTGACCAATAAAAATCTAAACACAATTATTATATAATAATTTTTTTTAGAACATACGATAAATAAATTGTTAATTATGTTACAAATATGATTTATTACTTTTTTTATAATCAATTATATTATATATAAATTTGTGTGTAAAGGAAAAAAAATTCTTAAGCCAAGCCTATGCTTTTCTTTTTTTTTGTGCGACTTCCTCAAATTCTTTTTCTAGAGAGAGTACATGCCAAATAGGACTCCAGTTATGGTTGTTTGTCATATTGGTAAGGCCACGCATATTTTACTTTTTATTTTGTTAAATAACATTGTTAACCCACTCGATTTAAAAAGATAAAATATCTTTTCAATGTTGCCCTCATCTCTTTTCTTCTCTTTGGCTCCATTCCCAGCACACCGGCGACAAACACTTTCCATCTCCCTCTCAATTCCATCACTCTTCATCTTCAAAATCCCTCTACAGAAAAATCCATTTGTAGAAAGGACCACAATTTTTTAGTGGTGGAGACCAATTTGGAGGACCTATTTCAAATTTCTATTGAAATTTCTTTCGAATTTTTGAGAATTGAGTATACATCTTTGAATTAGTGTCCAAAACTTGCATACCATGATGCATTTATCTTCTATGAAGTACAAACACGTCGGCCTTCAACCAAGTGTCATCTGGGTCATCTTAACCAGAAGGGGAAGCTGAAACTAAATTAGATCAACTACTCTCATTCTCCTTTGTGCCTAACCAAGTTTGATGAAAAGACCAACGCATCACTAGATTGCAAAAATAGTGGGAAAAAAAAAAAAAAAAGCTCATCAGCTAATTCACCTCTTACATGTGACACCTAGTCTTCTTCTTCTTTCTTTCTTTCTTTCTTTCCTTTTTTTTTTTTTTTTTCAACATGGGAGAATCTAAAGAAAAAGGAATTGATTAATCTTGAAATACGATGCTCAAATAAGGGGTGAAGAGAAGTGTATTTTTTAAAAAATATAGAGATAAATTATTTTTTAAAATTATTAATTAAGAGAAATTATTTATTTTTAATGTGTATAAATTATTTATTTTTTAATGTGCAACATAAAAAATTTATTTGTTATTTAAGTATTTTTAATAAAAAACTAACATATAATGACATTACATAATAAAAATAAATAGTTTATTTTAATTAATAATTCTAAAAAATTATTTTTATATTTCTAAAAAAATAAATTTAACCTTAAGGACGGGTTTAAGAATCATGCCTTTTACAAAAATTAAAACTGAAGTCTTTATTTTGATAACCCCACACTCTATCCAACATAATTAATGTTGAAGGGGCTGTGACACCTAGTCCTCTGTCGTGGAAACAGAGAATGGTTGGAGACGGGAAAGTGGCGTACGGACAAAAGTGATGAGGGCAAAATTGAAAATATATTTCTGTTTAAATTGAGTGGACAACAATGTAATTTAACAACATGAAAGTAAAATATGGGTACCCTTAACAGTATCCAGGTGGCTATAACGAGAGCCACCAAACAGACCTTGGATTCTTTTTTGCATCATTGGATGCGTTTTGAAACCATGTCCTTGGTTTCGACAACCAAGATAAAATTGCACAACTCATTTAGGAGCCAAGGACAAAATTAGGGTTAAAGTCAATTGTTGTCTCTCTACTTCCAACTTTTATTCATGTCTATCCTCCTACTAAGGATTTGTTTTCATGTCGTCCCTCTGTTTCCCAAATTGCACTAAACATTGTCCGATTGCGCCTCTTGTTTTGTCCAATGTAGTCTTTGTATAGATGGTGTTGGTTCAGCCGTCAATTTAGACTATTAAATTCTTTAACAGTCAACTGTTAAAAGTATTTCTTTAATTTTTTTTCTTTCAACATGTGCTATCAATTGGGACTAATAGACAATGTTTTAAGGCCCAATCCGTTGATCCACCTATTTTGCTCACTAATTCTGATTCAATTGGTTGAATTGATTTGATTAATTGCATCAATTAATTAATTTAATAAATATAATTTAATTTATTTTATCAATTATAAATTATTTTAACTTTAATTGATTTTATTTTTAAAATTAATTGAAATTACTTTTATATTTATTGATCAAACTAATTAATTTTTAAGACTTTATTTTCAAAGTTTATTAATTTAAATTAATTTAGTTCATTAAATTTATTAAAATACATAATATATATTTCTTTAATAGGCATCTAAAACATTGATATAATATTAATTATAAAATCATCTTTTCCTTATATTGATTTTTTTTCTAAAATTGATTAAGATTAATTTTAATTTTAAGAAGATTTCATTCATTTTATTATTTAAAATAGTAATTGATTTTATTTCTAAAATTACTTCTAAAATTACTTAAGATTATTTTTAATTTTAAATTAATTTCATCAATTTCATTATATAAAGTAATTATTTATTTTATTTTTAAAATGGAATTGATTTGATTTTAAAATAAAATTACTTCCTAACTTGAAATATATTTAATTTCAAATTATATTTAAATTAATTTAAAAATTTTCATTTGTTAATTGTGATTTGATTTTAAATAGATTTTAAAATTTAATTATTATATTATCTATTAATTAAATAAATAGAAATATAAAAATTAAAGAAAACGAAAAATATGAAAGTGTAAAAAAATAAAAAAGTTGAATCAATCGAGTCAACTGAGTTGATCAGGTTTGAGTGGATTTAACCAAGTTTGAGCAAGTTTGACTAGGTTTGAACAGATTTTGACCGAATTTGACTTAAAACGAGTTATTATTACCACTCAGCCCATTTTTAAAACTAAGAGCCCGTTTGGTGTGGCTGGAGGCACGGGCTCTGGTCTCAAATCAAAAGGTGGACCAAGGGAGATCTTTTGATAGAAGTCCTGTTAGAAAAAATTTGTTGTAGAAGTGCTGTTTTTGAGAAGTTGAGAGTGTTTGGTAAAATTTTTTATAGAAGTACTTGTAAAGTTAAAAGTTGTTTGATAAAATTTTTTATAAAAGATCTTGTAATGCTAAAATGACTGAAATATACATTTTTATTTTAATCATCACTTCCACTATTTTTTGTATATTTTTATATAACTTTATTTTTATAATTAATTTAAGGTTGATTAAAAATTAATTATTCATATTTTAAAATATAAATGCTTATATTTTAATATTAAAAAATAAAATATAGTACATTTAAGGTTATATCCCCGATTCAGTCCCTGAACTTTTATTTTTGGACTAAAAATACCCTCGAACTAAAAAAAGTACTAAAAAAATCCCTAAACTTCAATTTTTGGAACCATTTTAGTCCTTCCGTCGACGGAAGTGCCAGGTGGCATGTTAAGTTGCCACGAAATCAAGCTTTTTTCTTTCTTTTTTTCTTTTCTTTCCTTTCCTCTTTTTTTCTCCTTCTCTTTCCTTTTCTCCTTCCTACTGGGTTCGAAGGAACCCAGCACCAGCGCCTGGGTTCGTCGAACCCAGGCGTCCTGGGTTCGATCGAACCCAGGCGTCCTGGGTTCCATCGAACCCAGGCGTCCTGGGTTCCATCGAACCCAGGCGTCCTGGGTTTGACGACCCATGCCTGGGTTCTTCGAACCATCAAATCTTCTACAAAACCACCAAATTCAAACTACAAAAAACACTAATATGGAAAAAACACATTGCTTTGCACCACCAAATTCAGAACAAAACCACCAAATTCAGAACAAAACCACCAAATTCAGAACAAAACCACCAAATTCATCTCTAACCCGCACATCGATTCCTCGTAGAAAGGACTTCATCTCTAACCCGCGCTTGGGTTCCATCGAACCCAGGACGCTTGGGTTTGACGAACCCGCGCCTGGGTTCCTCGAACCCAGGCGTGCTGGGCTCGAAGGAACCCAGGACGCCTGGGTTCCATCGAACCCAGGCGTCCTGGGTTCGACGACCCACGCCTGGGTTCCTCGAACCCAGACGTGCTGGGCTCGAAGGAACCCAGGACGCCTGGGTTCGATGGAACCCAGGCGCGGGTTAGAGATGAAGTTCTTTCTACGAGGAATCGATGTGCGGGTTAGAGATGAATTTGGTGGTTTTGTTCTGAATTTGGTGGTGCAAAGCAATGTGTTTTTTCCATATTAGTGTTTTTTGTAGCTTGAATTTGGTGGTTTTGTAGAAGATTTGATGGTTCGAAGCCTCGGGATTTGAATTTAGTTTGGATGGAATGAATTTTTGTTGTTTGGTTCATAGGAAAGCGAAGGAAAATTGAGTGGAAAATGCCTGTAAAATTTTATTACTGATGTGGAAATGGAAAAATGCCACGGTGGCGAAAAAGATATTGTTTTATTTTACAGGTCATTAAGATTTTCAACCAAAATTGATTTCGTGGCAACTTAACGTGCCATCTGGCACTTCCGTCGACGGAAGGACTAAAATGGTTCCAAAAATTGAAGTTTAAGGATTTTTTTAGTACGTTTTTTAGTTCGAGGGTATTTTTAGTCCAAAAATGAAAGTTCAAGGACTGAATCGGGGATATAACCTACATTTAATCACCACTCCCACTCCAAATTTTTTTATATTTTTATATGACTTTATTTTTATAATTAGTTTAGAGTTGATGATCAAAAATTAATTATTCATATTTTAAAATATAAATACTAGATAAATGCTTATATTTTAATATTAAAAAATAAAATATACTAGATTTAAGTCACATAAATAAGACAATTAAAATTAAAATTTATGTCAAATAATCATCTTGATTGATTTTGCATTAAGGATAGAGTTATGGAATTTTTAAGTGAAATCATGTCACGATTCTCCATTGTACTAACAAAATTACTTTGAGAAATTCCTTGATCTATGCTCTCTTCTCCAGGCATTTCAAGCATATAATTTAGGTTTTGATCACACCTATCAAATTCTTTATCCCTAATTGCATGTTGCCTAATATAATTATGAAGTGCAATAGTTGCAGTTACTATCTTCTTCTGTGTTGTAAATGAATAACTTTGCATGCTGAACAATATTTCAAACTTTTTTTTCCAACACCCAATAGATCATTCAGTGACATTTCTAAGACAAGCATAGCATAGTTGAATACTTCTTGATAACCGATTGATTGGCTTCCACATCTAAAATCAAGAATGTGATACCTTTCTCCTTTAGAAGGTGCCAAATATCCATATATATTAGGATAACCAGTATCAACAATATAATATTTACCTAAAATATAAGAGAGAAGTCATTGATAATAAATACGAAAAATTTTCTTAAAAATTCATTAAGAATTGTGCTTAAAAACTATAATACAAAATAAATAGAAAATTATTACCATCAGGAGGATGAGGAAATACATCCTTATGATTTTCCAATGTATGGGTGAAAACACGTGCATCATGAGTAGATTCAGGTCACCCTGTAACTATAAATGTAAATATCATGTCAAAATTACAAACTACCATCACATTTTGAGTGGGGATGCCTTTGCAACCTATAAATGGTATTAGGTCTTCTTTGGGGATCGTGGCTTTAACATGCGTACCATCAATTGTACCAATACATCTTTTAAAATGAGGTCAAAACCTACTATCTTGTCAAATCTTATTGGGAGTTTCGGTAAAATTATAATCAGGTGGTTTCACAATGTCACTTGAAAACCACACCATTGCATCAAGAGCCTTACCAAATTTTCTACTTAATATTTCTCCTGAATGTTTAAAATGATTTTGCATATTTCGATTAGATGGATTATGTGCACATGTCCAAAGAAATATTGCAAGTGATTCTTCTGCACATATTTCTCTTGTTGATGTTAGGACATAATTACTAACTAACAAAGAACATAATCTCGTAAAAACATGTGGTTCCATTCTAAATAATTTATAACTTTTGCTTGGAGTTACCAGTGTCTCTTGCACCCATTGCCAACCTAAAAGTCTTGAAACTCTTCTTTTTTGTTTGTTAAGATATTTTGAAGTATATTTTGCAGATATTGAAGCACCGAAGTGAACAAGAGAATAAAATATATTATCTCTTTTTCGTCATATGGGCCAAGAGGTAAAACTTAGGATGTAAGAAGATTTTACCTTTACCAAATTTTGGCCCAATAAGAAATGGATCATGTCATGAAAGGAAGGGTGCTTGAATAAGCCCAATAATAGAGATAGTAAATTAAAAGAAGAGGTGACCCTCAGTGATTCAACAATTCGTGGTTAGAAAAAGATGAGGCAAAGAGAAGTAGAGGAAAGAAGACAATAGGAGATTGAAGAGGAATGGAGTACCCAACAATTTTGGGAAGGTCTTGCAAGGAACTATGAAATCATACAGGCAAGGGTGGAAAGGATTGCACATGAAAGGAAGAGGAAAAGAAAGCAAACAAGGATGATGAAGGGGGTCAAGTGCATGGAGCTGCAACCTCAGCCAAATCAACTTATAACCACAGATCTGTCATTAAGCATTGAAGGTAAGAAAATTGGAGTGAGGAGGCCACAGAATTATGGATGATTGGGAAGCAACTATGTTTGGTGGTGGAAGATAATGCAAAGGAAACCATAAGGCAACTAGGAGAAATGGAAAAAAGGGACAAAATTGCAATGGCTAAGCAGAAGATGGCAAAAACAACTATGAGGGGGAAAAAGACAGTTTACCCATGAAGATTTTGTCAATTAATATCAGGGGGATAAGTGGTAGCAGTAAAAAGAGAGGTTTAAGGGAAGCAATTAAAAAAGAGAAAGTGCATATGTTACTCATTCAGGAGTCAAAAATGGAGGTATGTGATAAAAACATTTATAAATCAATTTGGGGATCAGATAATTGTGAATGGGTAGCATCTCTAGCAAATGGGAAATTTAGGGGTATTCTATGTATTTGGAATCTAAATATCTTTGTATTAAATAAAAAGATATATGGTAGTAGTTTTTGTGGTATGCAAGGTTGTTGGGGAAGGGAGCAGACTCCTTGTTTTTTCATAAACGTGTATTCTCTTTGTGATAAACAAGGTAAATGCAAGCTATGGGATGAGCTTTTAAGTTTAATTGAAGAATATGGTGGAGGTAACTGGTGTATTGGTGGTGATTTCAATACTATAAGAGATATGGAGGAGAAGAAGGGCAAGTGTTATGATGCAGTTGATGCCTGGGATTTTAATAAATTCATTACAGATGAAAGATTAGAAGAAATCCCTACGTTAGGAAGGAAGTTCACTTGGTACAAATCAAACGATTTGGTGATCAATAGGTTAGATAGGTTTCTACTTTCTTCTGAATTGTTAAGTAATTTTCCTAATGTTTCTCAATGGGGTTTGAAGAAAGACTTGTTTGATCATTGTCCTATTTTACTTAAACAATTTTGCATTAACTCAAGGCCCAGACCCTTTTGATGCTTGGATATTTGGCTTAATCATGAAGGATTTAGCAAATTTGTTTAGGAGAAATAGTACAATTACAAGGTGGAGGGATGAGGTTGCTTTAGACTTAAGGAGAAATTGAAATATTTGAAGAAGGATTTGAAGTTTTGGAATAGAGACATCTTTAGAAATATAAAAAGGAATATTGATGCAATAAAGGAGGAAATAAGGAGGTTGGACGAGAAGGCATAAGAATGCACACTCACAGAGACGGAGGTGGAAAAAAGGAAAGACTATTTTTTTAGCCTCTGGGAGTGGAATAGGGCAAAAGAAAGTTTACTTCATCAGAAATCGAGACAAAGATGGCTTCAGGAGGGAGATGCTAATAGCAAGTATTTTCATGGGTGTGTGGCAAAAAGAAGGAAGCAAAATGGAATCGATGGCATGTGGATTAATGGAGAATGGACTGAGGATGTCATGAAAATTAAAAGCTTCATCAAAGATTTCTACCAAAGAAAATTTGACAAAGATCGAAGGTTCAGGCTGAGATTGGAATTGAATATTTTTAGACAGGTAAGTAAGAAGGATAATGACATGTTGGTGGCTGAATTTTCTGAAGAGGAAATCAAGGAAGTAGTGTGGAGTTGCAACGAAGGTAGAAGCCCGGGCCTGGATGGACTAAATTTCAACTTTATCGAAAGAACATGGCTAGTCATGAAGGAGGAGTTATGCAGATTCATAGAAGAGTTTCATTCCAACGAAAAGCTGGTGAGGGATAATGATGCATCCTTTATTGTCCTAATTCCCAAAAAGGATAATCTTATTAGCTTAATAGATTATCATCCAATCTCTCTCATTGGTTGTATGTACAAAATAGTTTCTAAACTTCTTGCTAATCGAATGAGAAGAGTTATGGATTCCATTATTAGCCCCAACCAATCTGCTTTTGTTGGAGGGAGATAGATTGCAAATGGCATTATAATCACAAATGAATTGATTCATGAGGTAAAAAGAAGGACGCCCATAGCATTTTTTAAGGCTAATTTTGAAAAGGCATACGACA